GACCCTGCTGGTTGTTGCTGGTGCTGTCATTGTTGCTCCTTGGATTGCTGTTCCCAGGGTAGTTCCCTTGATATGTGCTTGTTCTGTTACCACGAGGGTAATCAGGCCTTTGGTCCTTTCCCTTGTTTGAGTTCATAGCAGCTAAAGCCACTGAATCCACCCCTGTTGCTTCCTTGGTAGGTTGTTTACCCATTTGTCTCTCAAGTTTGAGAGCATGCTTGTATGCTAACTTCAAGCTTGGGGCAGGATCCATAAGCAGTAGTTGATTCTTGGTGAGCTCAAAAGAGTCACTCAGACCTATGATGAAGTCGATAGTGTGGTCCTGTTCGTGAGACTCCTTAACAGCTGCATAGGTTGCACAGGACATTGTATGTGGTGTGCCACTGCACTCACAGGCAGGTATGGATTTAAATGACAAGTACTCTGTCCATAAAACACCTAGCCTGTTATAGTACTCAGTCACATTGTTATCTCCTTGTTTGCAGTTGGCAATTAGCCCCTTGACATGAGCCAAGCGGATGGAGTCAGCTTCTCCATAACGTTCCTGAAGGTCCTTCCACAGATCTTGGGCTGTCTCATTGTCCATAACAGCTTCAGCTATGGAGTCGAGCAGAGAGTTGAGAATCCAACCCATAACGTTGGTATTACTCTGATCCCAAGCTTCATAATCAGGGTCGGTTTCTTCAGGCATAGGTAATGTACCATTTATGAACCCAAGCTTCTTCTTGGTTTTTAAGGCTATTCTCATAGATCTACTCCATACATGATAGTTAGATCCATCGAGTTTTACTGAGATAATACCTTGTGATAGGTTTTCGTTGGGGTTGACGTAGTATGGGTCGATTGGAAGTCGTGGTAAGGGTTGATGTGTTGCTCCTGTCATTGCAGCAGCTCCAGTTGTAGTAGAGAATGTGTCATCAGAGTTGGTTGCCATGGCGGCGCGCTTGCAAGGTTACGGAACCCTAGGTGAGGTGAGCCAGAGGCTCTGATACCATGAGAATGTTTGTAAGAGGAAAGGCAGGGATTTTGTGGAACCTTTTCTACATTTCTCTGGCAGCTCAGCTGCAATATATATGTACAGAAAGCAGTGACTACAGGACAGAGTGCCTCTAACGGCCTCTTCCTCTCGTCAGGAGACAAGTGTCTCAATAAGAAAAAGACAGGTAATATTTACACCCTACAATTTAAATATGTGCAGTAAGTTGGGACGGCGGCGTATCAACCGAAACTCAGTTCTTCATCTTCTTCTTCTTCTTCTGCCTTGAGCTCTTGACCGTTGGAACTCTCTTCTTCTTCTCCTTCTTTGTTTTGCTTCAAGGCAGAGTGTCCCATTCCAGTTGACACTTCTCGCGAATTTACGACGGTGAAGGAGGGAGCTGACGACGTATTCTGGTTGCGATTGTTTGTTCCTTGACTCGGCGAGGGCAGAACGACGGGCAGCTCGGGTCGGAGGAAGACATATCTTCGTTGGGATGGAAGCGCCGACGGGATTGAAGGGATGGGCTCCGACGTATGTGCAGTGGAGAGGTGGGCGGAAAGAGGAGGATAGGCGCCGGTGGGATGGAAGCCGGCGTCTCTTGCTGGCGAGGGGATTGCGTCGAATTGTGTCGTGTGTGCAGGGGAGAGGTGGGAGGAGAGAGGAGGTAGAGTTTGTTAAATTTTTAGGGTGTGTTTGTTTGAGTTATAATTTAATTTTTGATTTGGACAATTATGTAAATTGTGCATTAAATTTAGGACGACGAATAGTAATTTTAGGACGAAATTTAGCGTTTTAGTATATTTTTTGCCTTAAAATACTACATGAGCTTTTTGGGATGGTTGGGTAGCTATAAATAGTTTGGCCAATATATAGTGGGTGTTCTAGTTGTTGAGTTGAGTCATATTTTTATTGGGTAATGAGTAGTTGTTAGGTAATCATCCAACATGGTTAATATATTTTCTACTATCCAACCTTTTAATGAATGATATCATCTTCTCATATCATAGATACCATCCAATCCTTTAGTGGGGTACTATCACATTTTACATGTAATCCTTTAACTACTAAGTGGATGATACCATCACATATCATGGATACCATCCAGTTGTTTAGTGGATAGTACCATCGTGTCTTTTTACATGGACATCATCCAATCTCTAAGTAAATGGTATCATTCCATTGCATAGGTACTATCCAACTGGTGCCATCCGACAATAGGGATACCATCTAGAGTTTTATTGGATGCTACCATCCGATCTCATGGTTATCATCCAATTTGACATAATGACATGGTATATGGTTGCTAGGACATGGTGACTTGTTCATATGCTTTTGATTCGGGTCTAAATGCACACATTTTACCCCTCATTTTTGATATATTGGCTTTGAATTTCATCGTCCCTTGACATATTTCACGCTAGGTTGTGCTTGTTTTGCTATATTTCAAGTCATAGCACGCGTGGGAAGGTCGAGGACGAGTTTCAGGACGATTGGAGGTAGAAAAGTGCAAAAAATGAAGAAGAAAAGTCCAAAGTCCCGTGACAATTGCCCCGAGACCGTGAAGTGTGGAGGGTCCAGAGCCATTTGTAGTTTCACTGGACTAAAGCCAGTTCACGATCATAAGACTGTGAGCTCCGGCCCCAGACCGTGATGTGACTTAGTAAAGCGGCGAGTTTTGGCCCGAGATCACGGTCCCCGCCTTAAGTTCACGGCCGTGAACTGGGGCCGTGATCTAAGGCTGATCAAGGTATAAAAGGGGAAGTGAGTTGAAGGAGAATGGGGGCTTTTTTCTACGGTTTTAGTTTCATAATAAAAGAGATTTTCTAGTGATAGATTGGGGTTTCCTCTTCCTATTATAGATAGAGAAAGTGTCATTCAAAGGAGGAGGAAGGAGATTGAGCTCATTTCAAGCTAGAGGAGTGAGGGTTTCTTCTTCTCAAGGGAGATTCAAGCAACAAGGAGGAAAGATTTTCATCTCTTCGTGGTTCTTTCTCTCATTTTCCTTGTTTTCCTTTGCCTAGCTATGGAATAGCCTACCTACTCATTTGGGTGTTTGTAAACTCTAGCTACAATTATGTGAATGTTTGTATGGATTGAATGATTTGTGTGTGGTTGTGTCTAATGTGAATGTGGAGGTATTTTCATGAATGATTGTGTTGTGTGAAAGCCTATCAATCTAATTGTCATTCTAACCTAGATAGAGAGAAAACCCCCTTCCTTTATTTGAAAGAGGCTTGAAAGCTGGGTTTTCTTAGGCGATTCATTGTCTCCTATTTAGATTAATGTAGGGCACACCTCTTATTTTGTATTATCACCTAGGGTTGGTTGTGGGTGGCCGTCAGAACTCTGATTCGAGGGTGAAGTCTTGGCAACCCTTAGTAAATAGGCCGAGAGAGTCACGTTGGTGGCTTGAATCGAATTCCCTCGACCTAGAGACCAAGAGAGTGGTGCTTGGCTACTTGTTGCACTTCCCTACAGTTTACAACCACCTTATCACACATGACCATTCGATCCAACAAGTCATAATTGTTAGTTAGGGGTAGCAATACCCGGGTGAACTCTTCTTTGATTGGGACAACCTTGATTTACTTTACTTGCTTGTTTTCATTTGTAGGTTTCTTAGTTTTAAACCCAAAAAGATTTGCTAGATAACAAACTAAACGATTGAAGTAGGGGTACATGGACCGACCCGGGTTTGACAATTAAAACATACTCGCCCTATACTACACCCGGATAGATTTTATGCTTGAGCTCTAGTCGCGATTAATTCGCAGTGTATCCTTGGTGAGTCATGTTTTTGGCGCCGTTGTCGGGGAACAACAGTAAATTATTTTGAAAAAGTCGCTTAGTGTTACTCTAGCATCTTCTATCTTGTATTTTGTTTCATTTTGTGTTTATCATTTTGTGTTTATTGACCCACTCTTTGATTGAAGGGTTGTTTGTGTGTGTTCAATTTTCCTTTTTAGTGTGTTTGTGTTTGTAGGTATTGGATCATGGATCCTTATGATTGCACCCAAGTGTAGGGGTATCCACCACCACCCGAAAGTGGTTATCCCGGAACTTCATGGGACGATCAAGATGGGGTAAGTCAAGGATCCAGGTTCTACTACCAACCTCCCTTCCAAGAAGAGCAACCATTCTCATGGGGATACCAAGAAGCTTCCCCATATCAAGAGGGTTTCCCTCCACAACTTGAGGTGAAATCCAAGTTGGAGTTGGCAATGAAGGCTTTCATGGGACAAACCTCAAGACCATGTGCCACTCCACAACCGGAGCCAAAGTGAGAATTAGAGCTCATGGTGGGGGTGATTTTCCAAGGGCACCAATGAAGGGCGCTCTACCATGGACCTCCCAATTCCCAACCCTTTCGATTCAACCTTTCTACGAGAATCGGAGGATCTCCTTCGATACACGCAGAGGCTAGGAGGGCTTGTTGAGAAAGCACATGCAAAACTTGCTCACACTCGCCTCCTACCATTGGAATAAAGAGAGGAAGACGAAGAGGCGAGCCATGATAATTTCGGAAGAACAAGCTCCGACATGGATTTCCAACTTCTCCCTCCTCCCGGTTTGACACTTGAAGAGAAGGTGGCAAGAGCTTGTGCATGCCATCGCCTCTCAGAATTGGAAGAAGTAGTTGAGGTTGGAGTGGAGGTTAATGAAGACTATGTGGATCGAGAAGTACTCATCCCAAAGAACTCCCGTGGTGAGGATGATCAAGAGTGTACGTGGGCACCGGGTCATGCCGCCCACGGGCTAGCACGGCATGGCACGGTTAGAGCACGACACGAGCACGAAATAAATGGGCCAGCCCGGCACGAGCACGAATAATTTATGTGCCGTGCCGGGCCTAAACTTCATAAGCACGGGCACGAGCACGGGCACGGCACAGTGTATAAGTGGGCCGTGTCGGGCCTAATATTTTTGAGATTTTGTTGAGTATAAGAACGGACATGGCACGAAAATAATATTTATTTGATAGAAAATAAGTATAAAAAGAATTATAGGTTCAAATATTACAAATCACAAGTAGAAAAATAATTATTTGGTGTTGTTAGAAGTGTCATAAAGATATATATGTAATTACTAATATAAGTAAAAATAGACAAAGAATTAAACAAAGGCAAATCACACTCGCTATACTTTCAATTTTCTTTTCCCCCCTATTTGTTACTTTTCTCAAACATTATTGGTTAATACTCTCTTCCCCGGTCCAATTTTCACCTTCTTATTCATTCTCTCTTTTGTTTTCGTCCTTTTCATTAAACACGAATACGAGCATGGCACGAGCACGAATAGGCACGACACGATTCGAACCGTGCCCGGGCCTGGGCCGGGCCTAGCAAAGTTGACAAATGGGCTTGCATGGCATGGCATGAAAACTGACGGGCCGTGCCAAGCACGACACAAAATAAATGGGCCCGAAGCGTGCCCATGCCGTGCCGGCCCAAGCACGGCCCAACGCCCATGTACAATCAAGAGTGTCTCATTGGCGACTCTCATCACTATCCCCTTCCCGAAAGCAAGTTTGAAGACCAAGTCATTAGTGTGGAGGATCAAAAGAATCCCTTCTATGATCTTGCGTGGCATCTTGCCCTCAAAACCGGGCTTGAAGACATGGATGGGAAGGTGAGAGAAGAGGTTGTGGAAGAGGAAGTGAAAATTGAAGAAAGGGAAGATCTTGATTGTTCCCAAGGGGAGGAAGAAAGTGAATAAGATGGAAGGGAGGTTGAGGAAGAAGTAGAAGGAGCAAGTGAGGTCCAAGATGAGTACGAGTCCGTTGTGGATGAAGAATCCACAAGTTACAAGAGCTACATAAGCTTTCCACCCGACCTCGATGCACTTTTGGAGAAGGACCCATTTAAGGGCTTTTGCCAAGCCAAGGTCAAACCATCGGTGATCCCTCTTGGCGGATGCGATGGAAGTCAATCGATGATGGACTACATGGTGTGGGGCAAAGAGAAAGAATAAGAAAAGAAGAAGGAGAGGTCTCGAGGGTGGAGGTTTCATCTCAATCAAGTTCATGAGTCATCATCAAATGTCATTCCATATGATCATGACTTGAGGCTCCAACTCGAAGACGAGAACCTCAACTTCAAGGAGGTTTTTGGATAGACTGAAGCTTGAGGAGCAACCTTCCAGCTTATGAGGTAAAAGTAGCGCTTGTTGGGAGGCAACCCAACGAAGGGTTGTGTTTGTTTTATGTTAAGTACTAATATTGTGTAATAACCTCGCCTTGTGCGAGTATGTGTGTGTTTTCTTTTGTTTTTGTCTCCTTGAAGCTCTCCCCTCTTCATCTCCGGCCCAATTGAGTCCCGACTTTCACTCGCCAAGCTATGCGATAACATCGTTCTACACCTTATTTAGGCCATTGAAGGCAATGTCGAGTTTATGTGTGTGTTGGGGGGGGGGGGTAGTCTATCTATTAAGCTTGTGTGTGTGTGTGTGTGTGTGTGTGTGTGTGTGTGTGTGTGTGTGTTATTGATTGCTTGGAGTTTAGATGTATGCCCAAATTTTAAAATTTTGAGGGCTCCAACCATTGCATGTTCATTGTGGCCAATTGTTGGAGGATCTCTTGTTTATAGGCATTGACCTTGGATTGTTTACTTGTGATCAAGTGCATCCTATTATGATGATTGAGAATTGCATTAGATTGGTGCAAATGTTTAGTTCTCATATGTGTGCAAATGAATGGATATCTTGACTTGATTACTCCTGCATTACAATTGCCATGCATTGATTTTGTGAAATTGGATTAGACAAATTAGGTGATTAGGTAGACATGTGAGTTTTGTGTCAATCGTCTTTTTCTCATGTGATAGATCCCTCTCGCCATGGTGTGTTACATTCACCATTGTCACTAGTGAGTATGATAGAGGAATAGTATTAGTCCACACCCAAAAGTTGATTGTCTAGAAATACTTTATCTCTTAGTCAACTGATATTCGACTGTAACATATGGAATTCTTGTGCTTTATGTGGCTATCCTATGATATGTTTAAGTCGATTGATGCTATTTTAGAGAAAATTAATCTGGAATGGTTGAAAAGCCATTACCATCTTGTGTTGGAATTTTGGTGTATTTTAGGTGAAGAAATAGACAAAAGGCACAGGTGACCCTCCAAGGCAGAAGATGGCGGGAACGAATTGGATCAATGTCTCTTCCACAACAAAAATTGGGCTCAAGCACAATTGATGGAGGCAATTCCATGTTTTCTAGTGGACAATGGACGAAAATTGGTGGAGGGCATAAGAGGCCATTTTAACACTTTCCTGGACCAAGTTGTTTGGCCTGTAGCATTGGAATGTTTTGGCCCATCTTCCTTGTCTGTAGTGGAATTAATTGGACAGGAGGGCTTGAAGGGGAAAAAATGAGGCGGACAAGGGGAATTTTGGGAGAAAATTCTCTATGGGAGGAGGCAGCTTGGAGACGGAATGAAGGGGAGCGGCGGCGGAATTTTGGGACGGAACTAATTTTGCGAGGAAGGAAATTCTTGGGACAGAGAATTGTGGACGGGGACAAGGAATTCTTGGCGAGGGTTTCTTTTTGGATAAAAAGGAGCAGGGCGCAGCGAAGGCTGGGGAGAGCAGCAGCGTGGAGTTCGAAGCGAGCTATCGCGCGGAGCAAGCAACAGGCGATTGATGCAAGAAGGAATTGGTGTCGGGATTATGTTCGAAAAGCTTAGTATTTTTCCTTTAGCTTTAATTGATACGCTGATGATTATAAACATGATTGTGTGCTTTATTTTCGTCATGAACTAAACCCCAATTTCTGGGGGAAACACCATAGGATGTAACTATTTCTAGAATTGGTGGATTGATTCATATTTCTTTTCTTCCAATCTCTATTGCATGAAATTACTTAATGCTTTGTGTTGACTGGCCACCAATACATCGATTTGTAGTTAATTAGGTTATTAGCGACAGTGAAACCCTAATAACTGACCATATTTCATGTGACATAGTAACTTATCGAAGCGACAATGGATTAAATAAGATGTTATGCGGTCTTGATTGAGATATTGGTCTTAAGGCTAAATAATTAATTCATTGAGCTACGACAGTAGGATTTGAATTGATTATATAGTACGTAGTAATTCCCGACAGGGATAGCTAACACAATAGAGATATCTTGGCTGTAGAGAATTGGATTAAACTGATTAAAATATGTGAATTAATTTGGATGTGATAGGTAGTGAGTCCCGGTGTTTCTCCCAGAGCTTTCTTCCATTGATTTTCTCCCGACAACTTTAATTTGCTTGTTTTGTTTAATTATTAGCTAGTAGTTTCATCACTAAAACATTTTTCACCTATAGTTTCCTCTATAAAATTGATAGAATATAAGGTTGTACCAGTCCCTGAGAGACGATACCCGGATTTCCGGTTTTACTACAAGATAGGAATTAAAGCTATACGCTTTTGCCCTATCAAGTTTTTGGCGCCAGTGTCGGGGACTGCCATACCTTATTTTTGTTGATTTTTCTGAGTGAACTATTTTGATCTGGGTGTTAGTGTGCAGATGAATTTTTCAGGTGTATCCTCCTCGTGCATGCCAAGGAGGACGACCGACAATTTACTGCCACTTGATCCAGAGATAGAGAGGATATGCCGACAGAACAGGAAGCAGGTCAAGTTAGGGAAGCAGCCAACCACAACCACAACTCCTAGGCCTTCCCTAACCAAGAATCGTCAACAGAGAGGGCAGGCTTCATCACCTGTCGTCCCTACACCACCGACACCACCACCTCATGACGGTGAGCATGTTATCATGGCAGAGGAGGATCGTTCGATCAGGGCTCGTTTGAATCGAAGGACTGGAGCCTGAGCTTCATGTGTTGTGATTTCGGCTGGGGATGCAACCATGGAAATTACCCCAGCATTCATTAATATGATCACCAATGGGTATACTTTCTCAGGGGCTAGTACTGAGGATCCTTATGAACATCTTCGCCGGTTCGCGAGCATATGTGATACGATGAAGAGGCCAACTGTTTCTGATGATGCAATCCGTCTTCGTATGTTTTCATTTTCTCTGATAGGGAATGCATCACACTGGTTTCAGAACTTAACACCACGTTCCATCACGACATGGGCTCAGCTTGAGAAGGTCTTTCTGGATAAATACTTCCCACTTTCCTTGGCAATGAAGAGGCAAGAAGAGATTGTTACTTTTAAGCAGGCTGATGATGAGAGTCTGACTGAGGCATGGGAGCGCTATAAGGGGCTATTGATGAGATGCCCAAGCCAAGGTCTTGAAGATTGGAACGTGATCATTATTTTCTTCAATGGAATCAGAATTGGGTTCCGGGATGCCCTGAATAATGCTTCTCGAAATGGTTTCACAAGCAAGGAGGCACCATCAGCATATGATCTCGTAGAGAAGATCTGTTCAGAAGCCACCGAATGGGGTAGTGAGACCAGTATTCGAAGAAGAGGAGGCTTGCATGAGATAAACAGAGTTGTGAGTCTAGAAGCCAAGATAGATGCCAAGCTGGATTCTAAGTTCGATGCACTCTAACGAAGGCTGGCCAAGATTGCTCTGGGTAGACAAGAGGAGGTTGTTTCATGTAAACTTTGTGAGGGTCCTCATCATAGGGATATGTGTCCACTGGGAGCTGCTCAGTTGGAAGATGTCAATATATCAATAATCCGCGAAGTCAAGGCCAGGGTGGTATGTATTCAAATACATACAACCCTCAATGGAGACATCACCCCAATATGTCATGGTCAAACAATAATCCAGCTGGTGTTAGAAACATCCCACCTCCTGGTTTTCAACAGCAGCAACCTCAACCAGAGAAGAAGCCCCAGCTGGAGGAGTTGATTTTGGCTCATATGCAGAAAACAGACAATAATTTCAAGGGTCTTGATCAATTTGTCACTCAACAGCTAGCCATCAACAATAATATGCAATCATCTATGCTAGCTATGGAGAGGCAAATAGGCCAGATGGCTCAAACTTTGGTAGATATTCAAGGTTGGATTCCTGGGACTTTACCAGCAAATACTGAGAGGAATCCGAAGGACGCCATGGTTGTAGCAGTCACATTGAGGAGTGGGAAGGAGTTGGAGGATCCGAAGAGCAAGAAAAATCCGGTAGAAAAAGAGGGCAAAGCAGTTGCAGAGGCAAAAGCTGAAAAATCTGACTTGCACAGGCAAACTGCATGTAATCTGCCTGTGCATGAGCATTGTGCCTATGCAACTCCAAAAGTGTAAAAATTGAAGAATGAAGAGGTAAAGCCTTATGAACCTCCCGCACCATTCCCTCAGAGGCTAATGAAGCCCATGGAAGACCCAAACTTCAAAAAATTTGTGAATCTCTTCAAGCAACTTCAGATCAACATACCACTGGCGGAGGCGCTTGAACAGATGCCTACATATGCTAAATTCTTAAGGGAGTTGCTGGCAAAGAAGCGAAAATGGGCTGATCTAGAGAAGGTAACCCTTACTTCTGAATGTAGTGTTGTGATTCAGAATAAATTACCAGAAAAGAGGGATGATCCGGGCAGCTTCACCATTCCATGTGTCATTGGAGGTACAAAGTTCAATAAATCACTTTGTGATCTTGGAGCAGGAATTAATTTGATGCCATACTCAGTCTACAAGAAATTGGGATTGGGAGATGTTCTTAAGCCTACTCGGATCACTCTCCAATTGGCTTATCGATCAGTGAAAATTCCAAAAGGAGTGATGGAGAATGTATTGGTGAAGGTTGGGAAGTTTATTCTCCCAACAGATTTTGTCATTCTGGAGATGGAAGAAGATCAGGGAGTGCCTCATTCTTGGGAGACCTTTTCTAGCAACTGGAGATGCACTCATCGATGTTGGGAGAGGCAAACTGACTTTCCGAGTAGGTAAGGAGGAGGAAATTTTTAATGTCTTCCAAGTTGATCATAATCACGATGCATTTGATGACTTTGAAAGTGGAGCTCGAGAAAGGAAAAATCCCTTCTCCTGTGATAGTGGACAACCTGAATAACTATCACATGTCCTATCTGCTCAGATTCTGAAATCAAAGCAACGACAGAAATTCTTGCCAGGTCAACTCAAGTATAGATATTTGGGTAAGGATTTCAATCTTCCTGTTATTATTCCTTCTTCACTGACATCGAAACAGGAAGAGTACTTGCTTGAGGCGCTGCAATACCACCTACGCCTCACTAAGGGGTCTAACATGCCAACTAAGAAGGTCATACCCAATTTTCGCACACCTAGCCCTGCAGAGGTGACTCATATGTTGGATGGAGGGTATGCATTCTATCATTGCTCAGGAGGGTATTCTGGATACCTTTCCATACCCATTGGTTGAAAGCTCCATGAACGTCAGGCTGAGGACGTTAAACAAGCGCTTCTTGGGAGGCAACCCAAGGTAAGTTTTCTTTTCTTTATTTTTCTTTTTCGTTGTGTCAAACCCGTGCATATTTAGATTAGGAGTTGAACATTAGGGACATTTTTCCATCCTGAGTGTGGGGTGGTGAGTATTAGTGTTTGTTTGTCCCTGATGCATGTGGTAAAAAAAAAACTGTCATTTGGGTTGTGCCCAGCCAAACTGCATGCAGTCTACATGTGCTGGTGCAGTCTGCCTGTGCTAACCTAATGCCTGTACTTATTACAACAAGAGTACAAGGATAAATTTTTTGTGTTAACGTTGTGTTTTGTGTGTCGTGGGTCTTGTATTTTGAGAAAGGTTGTGTCTCCCTGGTCTGTGTTGTGTTTCCTCCAATTATCGGTTTCTTGTACAAGTCGTTGCTTAGGGACAAGCAACAATTGAGTATGGGGTTGTGATAATCGACTGTAACATATGGAATTCTTGTGCTTTATGTGGATATCCTATGATATGTTTATAAGTCGATTGATGCTATTTTAGAGAAAATTAATCTGGAATGGTTGAAAAGCCATTACCATCTTGTGTTGGAGTTTGATGTATTTTAGGTGAAGAAATAGACAAAAGGGCACAGGTGAACCTCCGAGGCAGAAGATGGCGGGAACGAATTGGATCAATGTCTCTTCCACAACAAACATTGGGCTCAAGCCCAATTGATGGAGGCAATTTCATGTTTTCTAGTGGACAATGGACGAAAATTGGTGGAGGGCATAAGGGGGCATTTTAACACTTTCCTGGACCAAGTTGTTTGGCCTGTAGCATTGGAATGTTTTGGCCCATCTTCCTTGTCTGTAGTGGAATTAATTGGACAGGAGGGCTTGAAGGGGAAAAAAGGAGGCGGACAAGGGGAATTTTGGGAGAAAAATTCTCTGTGGGAGGAGGCAGCTTGGAGACGGAATAAAGGGGAGCTGGCGGCGGAATTTTGGGACGTAACTAATTTTGGGAGGAAGGAAATTCTTGGGACGGAGAATTGTGGACGGGGACAAGGAATTCTTGGCGAGGGTTTCTTTTTGGAGAAAAAGGAGCAGGGCGCAGCGAAGACTGGGGAGAGCAGCAGTGCGGAGTTCGAAGCGAGCTATCGCGCGGAGCAAGCAACAGGCGATTGAAGCGAAAGAGAATTGGTGTCGGGATTACGTTCGAGAATCTCAGTATTTTTCGTTTAGTTTTAATTGATACGATGATGATTATAAACATGATTGTGTGCTTTATTTTCGTCATGAACTAAACCCCAATTTATGGGGGAAACACCATAGGATGTAGCTATTTCTAGAATTGATGGATTGATTCATATTTCTTTTCTTCCAATCTCTAATGCATGAAATTACTTAATGCTTTATGTTGACTGGCCACCAATACATTGATTTGTAGTTAATTAGGTTATTAGCGACAGTGAAACCCTAATAACTGAACATATTTCATGTGACATAGTAACTTATCGAAGCGACAGTGGATTAAATAAGATGCTATGCGGTCTTGATTGGGATATCGGTCTTAAGGCTAAATAATTAATTCATTGAGCTACGACAGTAGGATTTGAATTGATTATTTAGTACGTAGTAATTCCCGACAGGGATAGCTAACACAGTAGAGATATCTTGGTTGTAGAGAATTAGATTAAACTGATTAGAATATGTGAATTAATTTGGATGTGATAGGTAGTGAGTCCCGGTGTTTCTCCCAGAGCTTTTTTCCATTGATTTTCTCCCGACAACTTTAATTTGCTTGTTTTGTTTAATTATTAGCTAGTAGTTTCATCACTAAAACATTTTTCACCTAAGTTTCCTCTATAAAATTGATAGAATATAAGGTTGTACCAGTCCCTGAGAGACGATACCCGGATTTCCGGTTTTACTACAAGATAGGAATTGAAGCTATACGCTTTTGCCCTATCATCAACCCCTTTGAGTCGTGTGACTTTAGGGGTCGTTCTCGTGATTGGGAGCTTGTTGCTTGTCAGCTTAATGGTATTTGATAGAACAAACCCTCATCCTTTCTTCGTGTCAAAGTGTAAGTCATCCTTGTGTCTAGGAGTTCTTGCTTTTGAGCTTCATTGAGGTTCTACATAGGTGGATTTTGCATGGTTCTTGCTGGGAATGAAATGGTAGTGTTGGAGGAAAGTTCTTAATAGAGAGCATTGTTCGTTAAATGTAAGAAGTGGCAAGTGTATAGCTCTCTAGTACCCCCTCGAAAAAAATGAAAGGAAAAGAAAAAGAGAGAAAAGTAGAAAGAAAAAATAGAAAAGAAATGGAAAAGGAGGAAATAAACGGGGTACGTAAACGGTAGAGAGTCGCCTCAAAAAGTTGAAGTGTATGCTCTAGAAATGGTTTCTTGGCACTCAAGGAATTAAAACACCTAATTGCTTGTTTACCTCCTTCACTAATATGCTTGGAATTTTTTATAGCAAGATAGGCCGAGGAATAGGCTGAGGAAGTGTGCTTGAATGTAGTTCGTGATTGGTTGTGGATTGGAGAAGGGAAGTGTGGTTTTTGTCCGTTTTTTGTAGGAGAAGGTTCTAGTCAAAACCGTAGAACCTAGTATCTTTGGTTGAAGATGTAGAACGTCATGCTTTGCTTGCCACCACCCAAAAGGCCTTTTTCCCATGTCCAAGACTCTTACAAGTCATTTGAAACCGTTTCTAAGACCTCCGAACTTGCTAGTGATAACATCCGACCTGTGAACTCTAGCATTTAGAGGTTGCCATTGTGGTGAAGAGACGATAGGGCTGAGTGTTAACGGTTGTACACATCTTTTGCACCAAATGGTCATGACCCCACTAGTCGAGAGTGAGTGATTTTCATTCATGATTTGAGTATTCATATCTATCCAGGTGAGGACCTATTTCGCCCATTCGTTTGTTCTTTGTACTTGAACTCTATGCATGAGTAATTGTGGTTGGTGAGTCATCTTGTGCAAACTTGTATTGATTTGTGAACAATGTGGGGTCTTTTCGTTTGCACGTTCTTAATGCATTCGAATGTCGTTTGTGGTGGATGCCGGTATTGCTTGTGATTGTCAATGTGTCGATGCCAAATAACCATTGAGATTCATCCATTGTGTGCCCTTTGATGTGTCCCCAAGTTATTGTTGGGAGGTTGAAATAGTACCTTGTATGAGAATGGTTTGCTTGGGGACAAGCAAACGTTCAAGTGCGGGAGAGTGATCCAGGTCTAAATGCACACATTTACCCCTCATTTCTTGATAGTTTAGCTTTGAATTCCATTGTCCCTCAACATATTTCACGCTAGGTTGTATTTTTTTGCTATATTCAGGTCCTAGCACGTGTGGGAGGGTCGAGGACGAGTTTAAGGACTTTTGGAGGTCGAAAAGCGCAAAAACCGAAGAAAAGTCCAAAGTCTCGTGACAATTGCCCCGAGACTGTGAAGTACGCAGGGTCCAGAGCCATTTGCAATTTTACTGGACTCAAGCCAGTACCCGGTCGTAAGACCGTGAAATCCAGCTCCATACCGTGAAGTGACTTAGTAAAGCGGTGCGTTTTGGTCCAAGATCACGGTCCCCGCCTTGAGTTCACGGTCGTGAATTGGAACCGTGATCTGAGCCCGATCTGGGTATAAAAGTGGAAGTGAGCTGAAGGAGAAGGGGAGCTTTTTCTAGGGTTTTAGTTTCAGAATAAAGGAGGGTTTCTAGTAAGAGATCAGGGTTTCCTCTTCCTATTCTAGAGAGAGAAGATGATATGGAAAATAAAGTTAGGTTGTATAACATTTTTCGTGGTAGTTTGACGTTTTCTTGTAGTTCAAGCATGCTTGTTACCGAAGATGATATGGAAATTGGACAATGAGAGTCCAATTTACAAACCTGGCAAGTCATTTTTATCTTCTATTGTGATAGCTATAATCAAATTCAAGAATGAGAATGTAAGAAATAAAAAGTCATCTCCTTGCAACTTGTAGTTCATTGGGCATGTACGCGAGGCGAACAGTAGATCAACACTGATTGATGAAAAACATAGACAACTTCTTTTATAGTTTTTTCTCTACTCGGTACAAACAGTAAAAATGTCATCTATTCTCTCCCTCTCTCAGAAATTTGTTCAGCACTGCCGATCGCCCATTACAGCGATTCTCTAGCAGCAGCTGATCATCAGATTTACAAATGTTAAAGCAGCTTAAAGTAGGAAAGTAAGGACAATGCAAAGGAACTGTAGTTTGTAAGGCGCAAAGAACATGGAATGGAGCAGAGCAGAAGATGATTACACAATGGTGGGGTGGTTAAGATAAAAGATCAGAGAAGAAATGAATTCACTCTGACAGAAGAAGAAAAAAAAGTATAAAAAAAAGATTGTTCCCTTGAATTGCAAATTTCTTTCCTTTCCCTTATGTACTTTGTATCGCAGGCAGCTTCTGCAAAAAGGTAAACACACCACCTCCTCTCCTTCACTCTTTATAGTTTCTAGTAGTAAATATTCATAGGGCAGCCAACTGAGTTGCTAGCTAGCTGGTTGTGTTCATATTCTCACAAGCTCAATCTTCCTTGGTGATCAATGTGGGAATCTGGCCGCGGTTGACGAAATCAATCTTGTTCAACCTTAAACAACAGAGTACTTGCTCTGGGAGTTCTTCTGGTTTTTGTGCCTATTGGAAAAAGAAAATAAAAAATAAAAAATTGAGCTTGAATAAGGATGGAGGAAGTTAGATAACTCGATCGACACTAAACCAGCCTGATGTGATTGTTTTGTGTGGGGGTCTGGTACCTGGATGGTTAAGCCAACATTGGCAATCCCAAGCTTCAGCCTGTCCCTAAATGATTCTAAGCCTTTCCTGGAAATATAGCTGAATCGATGAATATCCAGGTCAATTTCCAAGTAGTTGGGGCCCTGTTTCGCAAGAAAGAAAAACTCGTTGTCAACCAAAATTCATAGCAGCTAGCTAGCCATTTAATTTAATCTAATCTTCAGAAAGAAAGAAATTCCCTTACGCTGAAGAATTGGTGTTGGGGGCGAGAAAGAACTGGCTTCTCATTGTAAGCATGGATGAGCTTCTTCTCAGTGGAGCTCAAGTTGAGATCATCAGGGTTTACAAGTCCTACCAAGAGCTTCAGCCTTTCCCTGAATGGAACTGTGGATTCTTTGGCAAACCCCTTAACCTTCTCCATTTCATCCTCCACAAATTTCTAACATCCACGTAAGAAAGGGAAAAGTTGCAAGTCATTTAACTAAACAAAAGGCTGCATGCGCGCAGTTATGAGTCGATTATATTTATCACATTGATTGGTTACCACCTTGAGTGTCTCCTTGAAATGTGGAGAGACTTGAGTGTCATAGTTATCGTTGAGTTTGAAGTAGAGGACAAGGCTCATGCCTTCCCCATCGCAGTCGCCATGGAACATTGCCACAGGATATGTCGGAATCTGCTCCACCAGACAAAAAATCCCCGGCCCATGAGATACATGAAAACAGAGTGAGTGAGTGAGTGAGAGAGATTCGATCTTTTTCCCTTCCTTCCTTGATTGTTACCTGAATGTTGACGATGAGTAGGGATGGAACTTGGTCATGAGGCTGAACCTGTGGAAGGTCCAGGTGTTGAGCAATGTGGCTCACCTTCCTTGGAGTCGTGAATAAGTCCACCCCTATCGGTACATATGGGCTTATCTCCGGAGCAGGTTGCTTCTGCTTGTTGCTGCATTAATTAGCCCACTTTTAGTTAGTTAACTTGTAAACAATAATCCAATTGTTGAATGTTTCCTTTTGATTCTCTTGATTTACAGTACAGGGATGCTTACCTGAAGTAGTTCTCGCCCCGGAGCTTGAACACAGAAGGGGAGACCTCAGACCATGTACCAGTGATCGGCTTCTCTTCTCGCGCAATCAAATGTCCTGCTCGTGGTCTGTAGCACTTCTTCTCAGTGGATGACCCTACATTCCATATCATCCATCAATCAAACTCGGTTCGGTTATCTAGCCATCAAATGGAACAAAACTAATGAAATTTTTCACTTCCATAAATGTCGTCCCCTTGCAAAACAAACACACCTTTTGCAACAGCCTCTCCGTCGACAGATGTCCTCTTCATGGCGACCCTAATGACGGTAGATTTCCTCTTCTCCCCGAACTCATCGCCTTCCCCGTCGATCTTCATGTAGCTCTCGTAGAACCCTTCGTACTTGCACTTGTTGTCCATCAGTCCTGAAGCTGCTTGGAGAAGCTGAGCATTTGGCATGTGGCTCATTGCATTGCTAAAACCCGGGAAACCCTCTGCATAATATATGCCCAAACAAAGAATTCATCACTAATTTTATTTTTGGTTTTGATCACCAAAGTTCATGATTTTGGGTTCCATGATATATCATCCTCACCATGCATGCTAATGTAGTCGTCATCTGAATCGGATTCAATGAAGCTCACCGAATCGAACCAAACTTCCTCCTGACTAATTCCTACACAACAGAATTGACGCATTAATCAAAATAATGTTGCAAATACTATTTCAAGAATTTCCGAGTGAGGTAAGAGACCATTTTGATCGATGTGGCATTGGTTCCATTGGAGCTGGGTGACGTGGAAACTCTTATTGGAGACTTCAGACCTCCTGCAAGTTGTGGCTGAGCCGTTCTCGAAATTGAGTTGGACGAACTCACTCATCGAAGAGAAATCGCCGATTCCTGCATTGCTGAGCCTCTTGATCGGAGCAGGCACATCGGGGATGGCGCTCGAGATCTTGGCCGAACGCCTCGAGAATCTCCTCCGCCTCTTCTCTCCTTCTGGCCTCACTCTTCTATTAGCTGATGAAGAAACACAGCCCCCCATTATTGTTTTTTGTTTCCTTCTCCTCCTCCTCCTCCTCTGTTTTTCGTCACTAGAAAGGGTTTAAACCCGCAGCTAAAAGTCAACACGCAAATTGGAACCTGAAAACAAACAACAACAGAGAAAGACTCATCTCGTTCAGAAACAAGACATCTGCAATTCGAGAAAAAAAAAACATTTATATATTCCCAGTGAAAGATCGTACCTTTAACTGCGTGAAATTCCGAGGAAAAAAACAAGTTTCAAGCTATATCTTCAATGGCTTCATGTACAGGAAGCAGAGCAGCTGTAAGGTTTGAACTCCAACGCCCAAGAAGCACACCTGAAGAACCATAAACACAAAGGTACTAAGAGCCCACATCCATTATAAGAGAAAGCTTTCTCTTTTTCCTATTTCCGATCGCAATTCGAAAATGGAATAGCAGCTAAAAGAAATAAAAGAATGGCTGGGAAGTTGGTTTCCAGAGATGGCAAATCAGACTCTGATATGTAAATGAACAAACATCACTTTCACGATCGTGATAACCCAACAATTCCATACATCAGGGAGCTATAAAAAAAACACACACAAAAAACAGAGTAAATGAGAAAGGGGGAGAAAAGAACAGGGGAAGAGAAAGAAACCTGAGGGAGGGTAGGGAAGGGGGGAATTCCAGCATAGGATGGAATCGGGAAACCCAGAAAGGAAATGGGGATTTGGGTCTGAATTTCCCCCCTTCAAAGCCTTGCGTTGTTAGCGGCCGAACCCGATATGCAAGAGAAGAAGGAGAAGAGAAAAAACTACTGATACATAAAGGGAGAGAGGGAGATGAACGAGTAGTACCCCACAAAGAAGAGATTCTGAGGGGAAGCCTTCTCCCTCTAAATTTAATAAGAAGGGAGAGGCAGGGGAAATGAAGAACAGGGGAAGCAATCCAGAAAAAGGAATAGAAAGAGAGGGTAAGGGATGAATTGACTTGTTTTTCGTTCCTTGCTATTCATGCGGGGGATTGCTATTTTGTTATATTACTATATGATGCACCCTTTTGAATCTCTCTCCATCTCCCTCTGTTTTTGACACTGATCCATCAATCATTAGTCTTTCTTTTGATTCCTAATTTGGTGGCTCTGTTTCTTTGCTTTTGTTGGGTTCCCCTTCCATGTCGATTATGGTGATTGTTAGATATACTATTTTGGTGAAATAATGCTATTTTGATTCTGCAAGTTGCTTTCTTTTCTCTATTGTTATTTATCATAAAATAGATCAAGTCGGGCAGCCTCAAAATTCAAGGTGTAGGTGTGTTAGAGATAACAGTAATAAGAAGCTGTAATCGATAAACTAAGCTCCTCCTCGAGCTTTACTCAACCGTTTCCATATACATGGTCCTTTAGTTGGCTCCGTTACAATTTCTTTTGGGTTATACTGAACTGGTCTCGTCTGCCTATTCGATATTCATCCATGGCGAGGAATGCAAATTAAGATAAGGCGAAGGAGAAAGAAGAGGAAAAGGAATACAGAATTTGCAGAAGAGAGGTGGTGGTTCTTTCTTAATTCGACCGAGGCAAATTTGCAGAAGAAAGGAATTGGAATTTGATCGAGTTTTCTCTCTGTGCATGCAAGGGAGCACAGTTGCCGGTCATGTGTCCCGAGTGTCCTCTCTTTCGTGTAGGAATTGGTATTATATCGGAATCTCAAATATCGTAATTAAGAATACAAAATAATGTCCTAAATTGTTAGGAAATTTCAATCTCAAAAATAAAATATTTCAATCCCAATCGCTAATATTTTGTTCAGTATCGATTTATACCAAATATCAAATTTTTTCGTTAAAACTTATTAATAAAATTATAAAATTAAATACTTCTTTACTACCAGCAGCTCTGCAAGGTATTTTCAAATATATAAAAGCAAACGATGGTGCCAATACTCGTGCAAAACAATGGAAAAAAAACTCAATTATAATAACAACAAGTTACATATAAACAAACTAGAGCAACAAACTGAAACAGAGGACGACTAAGCAGTCTATAAACATACTACATGTAATGAAATGGGCTACGATTGGGTTGTCAAATAGTGAGAAAATGGGTTATGTATGATTAAGTGGTCATGTTGGTGGTTGAGGTTTGATTGTCTGATAGCAGTGAATGGAGGATTTTTTTTTATATATTAAATATACACTAGCTTATATTTAGGTATACACCTATCTCAATTCGAATTTGAATCTCGTAAACCCTAATATCAATTAATACTTGAAATTCAATTATAATCTCAATTGTATATAATAATACATGTATTCGACACTATCAAATATCGATCAATTCGATACAGTATTTAATCCTAGATACTGGTACCAAACTTATAATCCCACTGTCACTATCGTATCCATTTATAACACTTTTCCTATTAGTATTATCATAAAAATGTGACGGGCAACCCACACAAAAAAAGGATCGAAAGCATGAAAGCGTATGTTAACATATTGAGTTCTATAGCTAAAAAATTCGCCTATGAGAGATGTTGATCTCCCAATATTTGTGTAGGAGATGATCAACCTGTTGCGCTAAGTTATAGTACCTCTCATTCCTAAGTTATCGTGCCTCTTATTCCCATGATCATTAGAAGTAAAGAAGAGATACGTTGTCATGAAATCAACTTGCGAATGGACCTTACGGTAGGCTCCAACTTTCAAAGTGCCTTCACAGAGACCAACTCCAATGCTATTTTTCAAATCAGGAGACCTTAGATCTCCAAATTTGGGGATGATCTCTATTTTCATTATTTTTACTCCAATGCTATTATCTGTAAATTAGGAGACCTCCCTCTGTTCTAGTTTTTCTTTACTTAAAAATGTACTTATGATTTTAATATAATTTGTTTATGTTAATTTTTGTATAGTTCGTCATCATATTTAAATACAAATTTTTTTATATATTTTTTTAAATTTCGTGACCAAATTTTTTTTGACAAAAAATAATTGACCTAATATTTTTTTACACACAACACTTTCTAACACCTTGATATAATTAATTAACCCTAAAATCTTAAAAAGAAAAAAAGGTGGTGAGCCCGCCCACCAACACACCCCTCCTCATTTTTAGAGGAATCCTCATTTCCATCCCAATTTTGGGCACCATGGCGATTCTCGCCATAAATGGAGACAAAGGAGGAAATGGCGCTCCCATTGGAGTCAGCCTAAGCATCTCTAGGAAGGGGTGAGTCGGTGAGAGGTTGAGTATTACAAATGTACAATGATAAATAATTAAAAGTAGCTCATGAAAATTTGAAAGAGTACCACGTTGATGAAATGTGGTAATCGAATTAGTTTATTAGTAAGAAAGCTCATTAAGTCTAGTAGAATTAGGACAAGGAGATAAGCCTTCGAGCAATTAGTTTTGACTTTATTAACTTTTTCTAACACCTTGTTAGAATTTTTTAACCAAAATGAACCAAGATTGAATCGAATCGAATCAAATGAGTGGCTAACCAAAATGATGCAATGTTTGGAGCATAATTTTCATTTCAATCAACACTCATATCCTTTTCGGACACTCAACACATTCATCTTCTATAAATTCACACAACTCCTCTGGTTTGAACACAAGTGTGTTTACTCGAAATTCAGGAAAACTCATTTCTGCATTCCTTTCAAACTTCAAAGGGAAAAAAAGTACCAAACTTCCGGTCTCCTTGCTGCTTTCGGACCCATTTCTAACACTTGTCTTACAAACTTCAAATAATTTTTTTCTATGATTATTAAATTGAAGACTAACTAACCACTCAAAAATATCTCATAAAGTATTTCATAGCAAATATATTTTATGTGTAAACAACACCCACCCTTCACTTTGCATATCTAATGTCCAGTTTTCTATCAACTCCACACCCATTAACCTAACATTTGGAGGTATTAGTATATTAGAGAAATTATATCAAATTACTTAAAAGACAACCTTTTTTAACCAAATACTTTAAAGAAAGTATTTTAAAGCATTATATCAATATCAAAGGGGAAAAGAAGTATTGAGAACCAATAGATAGAGATAACGAAACCAAAAGCAGAGTTTGGAGAACGAGTAGATAGAGATAATGAAAAGTTTGGAGATGTATGGAGAGAAACATTTTGAGCACACAATAATTGATGTTATATATGAGTCATGGCACCATGTTTCTTTTTATTTTTCTTTTGTTCTTCTTATGTTATGTTAGTTGTTTCTAGTACTGTTATATCTAAAAAAATATTCACAAGAGTAATAAACAAATATGTAGCTTGCTTATAAAAGGTGCGTAAATGCAATATAATGGTCTGTCAAAACAATTATACAAATCTCCCGGTTTTGTAGGACACGCTGTCACAAAGTGGCATGTGGGCTGAGGTTCCTGAATAATAACAAAACAATTATACAATTGGGTTATAATCTTACAAAATGTGAATATATACTAAATGTTTGTTTGAGATAGGCGGTATGTTGATAACTAATGCAAATGGTGTGTGTGTGGGAGATAATTAAAGAGGAAACCCAAAGTGATGGCATCAGCAGGCAATATAACCCTAGACACGTTACACGGTTGTAAAATTACAAGAGGATCATGTTTGAAATAGGTTTATACATACTTGAGTTTTCAAGAGTCTCAATCCCACAACTTCGTACTAACAATCTTTTTTTGTGTTATCTCCCAAATTAAAATGGTTCTCAATCCATCCAATTATAAACTCCTTACGCCACTAATTGTAAGAACGTATTAGATCTTTCTTTACCAACTTCCAATAATATTTATTCTGATTATCAAGTTAATTTATTTAGGACCAACTAATCACTCATACTTATCTCGTAATATATTTTAGGTGTAAACGTTACCTACTCTTCACTTTTCACTTGTAGTGCCCATAGAACTCTTAAATATGAAATAACACCTTTGATACCAAACCCACCCCCATAACCTAACATATGGACGCATGCTACATTAGAGAAATCATATGAAAATACTTAAAATAAAGTATTATAAAGGAGACAAAGTACTTCAAATTGTAAAATTGTACTGGATATTAGACCTTGTATCAGAAAATATAGTGATAGCAAGGACGAAGCTACACCATGGCTGCCCCCGAGAATTTCAAAAGTAACATATAAAATTGCAACAATTTTGGAAAATTAATATATATAAAGAAGAAGTGAGGTTATTGTTGCCTAATAAATTACAACTTACTATATCAATCTACACATAATATAATACGCCGAAGGGAAAAACGGGAGCCCCATTTCAAATTTCCTACAACGAGAGTGAAAGTAGGAAGGACATTTTGGTCTTCACAATTAGTTTTTTTTATTCATTAAAAAGACACATACTGGGATTCAAACCATGATTGTTTTAAAGGAAAGCAAGGATTATAACCAATCGCACTAAATACATTTGTTGTATCTTTTTAAATTAAAAACATACAATAGCAGGGAGGAAAATACCTTCCCCCATTTCAAATTCCCTGCTCCATGAGCGTTTGTAGGAAGGGTAGAATAGGGAGTGTCAATTTTTTTCTTTTTCCTCTGTGGAACGGGCCAACTACCGTACACATGCGAATTTAAACGAGTCTAGGAGTGTCAATTTTTTTCTTTAAGCTCTTTTATTTCTCCGTGGTGATAAAATATATATGAAAAGGCAAAAACAATACTCCTTTTTATTGCTAAAAATAAAAAATTTAACAATAAACTAATGCATGGTATCCAATGGGCTAATCGCTAACCATAAAATAAAAGAGTTGAATGGGTCTGACCTACACGGGATTTGACCATCAAGTAAAACAAATGAACATCATTGGTTTGTCATTCTCTTATTACCGATCACTTTCACTGCTCGTGAACTGATGATCCCATCTTTGTACCTTTTCCTTTCTCTTATTTAATAAAAGTTCATCATCCTCATAAAAAAAATCATTGGTTTGCCATTCTAAAACAAGCTATTTTCTCTGGCATAATATATATCATGCTATTATTTTATATCTTAGTGGCTAAAATATAATGTATTTTAAATTTATTCAATGGTTCAACCTCGACCAACCCAATTAGTCCAATTTTAATCATTTCCAATATATATTATATAATTAGTTGATATCATAATGATCAAATTATAGTGTATTTTATAGGGAATCGTTTGGTATTTGTTAGTAAAAAACTAAACAGAAAGATCTATTTGGTTATTTTAAAGATTAAAACGATCCTAAACATTTTCCGTTCCTTTTGAATTTCTATGGTTTTATTCCCGAATATGTGATGTGCAAATGGTGAATTGCAGTCATCTCTTTTCTTTCACTATTTTTTATTTTCAAATAGAAAGTTTAAAAGTAAAGAATAATTAGAATTTGGCATGAGTCGGTCAAACAGGCTGAATTTCAAGTTTTGGCCCGTTTTGATCAAGTCTAATTTATAATCACATGGTTCCCTGATACCCGATAAAAATCTCAATCCAAACCAGTTTGGAAGGCGAGTCCGTGTTTACCACCATTTTCTAGGGATACGACAACGACGGTTCCTATCCCAAATCGTGTTGTTCGTTCTTGATTTCCTGAGATTTTATCATAGCCTGACAAAAACCGGAAAGCACAATGACGACAAGATGAAAGGTTTATAAAGCAAATTAATCGGCCAACGGGCCGAGTAAAAGCTAGCAACGATTGTGAGATGCTCATTTCCCGAAAACCGACGGGATAGGCGATTTTTTATTCGATTTTCTGGAATTCGGTTTCTATAAAACTTACTCCACCTCATCATATTACCAGAAACAATATTGTTTCACAAGGTAACATGTACTTGATTTTGGTTCATAATGCCGATTTTTGATTCGTTGCATCATTCATGTCTCTTTCCTGCTAAAATTTACTATTTTTATCACGTGTTTCCAAAAAAAAAAAAACTATACAACAATAAGCTATACACACCATTACATTATCAAATTTCATACCTCACCTTCCTCCGGCCAACTGGCCGGGGCACACGCTAGTTCTTCTTTATGATTAATGTACATTTTATATTTTTATATTTTTATACCCCAAATTTAGAATGCCAAATTTAATTAAATTATAACTTAGTTACTATAATGTATATTTTATATTTTTATACCCCAAATTTATTTCTAATGTAAAATCAT